CAACAACCATCAGGTGAACAACAACAACAACAATATATTCAACCGACTGTATTTTTTCCACAACCAATTTCACCAAGATTAATCAATGAACAAATACAACAAAATATGATGAATGATGTTTCATCAAATAAGTTTGTATTTTTTTTTTGTTGTTGTTGAAAATATCTAATGACACTAAGTTCTAATTTGAATATTTTATTTTTAGACTTTTTGCTGGTCAAACTCCATTTGTTATTATGGTAAATTTTTTTTTTTTTAAATAAAACTTTACTTAAAATTTTTATCATTCTAAAATAGTCTCCACCACATTCAGTAATTGGTCCAGGACCACAACAACCTGTTTCAGGTAAAATAATTTTACTATAATCTCTTTTATTAATGATTTATTTATTAGGCTTTCATCCAGTTTCAATGATGCCACGTGTTTGTGTCGATCCCATGAATTGTTCATCAAATGGTCCTAATGTTTATCTTCCTACTGGACAAAATCTAATGTCTACACAGCAACAATCATCACCAAAACTTCCTATTTTTTATTCATCATCACCACCAACACCCTTTACTCAATGGATTCCTACTGCTTCGCCACCACAACCACCACCACCACCACCACCTTATTTTATGTTATCTAATCATCAACCAGCACAACATTTTCCTTTTCAACAGTTAATTTGAACTGTGTGTATGTGTGATTTTGTTTCTATTTTTTGTTTTTTTTTTTGTTTCAGTTGAAAATTTAACTCTTGTACAGTTATTAGATCTATCTATCTATCTATCTATCTATTATTGTTTGTGAACTAGAGACTTCTATTTTTTTTCCTTATGGGATTCATTTGTATATATATATGTATTAAAGTGTGTATGTAGTTTGTTTAAGTTGGCTTTTTTTATAAGCGTATACACTATGTGTACTCGAGAGGACACGAAAGAAGAAGTATTAATATATATATACAGATATGTACACATTCATGTAAACTTGTTCAAATTTTTAATATAGACAATCTATATCAATAAGAATATGCGCATTCATGATGGTTTGATAGAGATACTGTTTTTGAAATTATTATATGCTGAAAAAATACGATTCGTTTATTACATTATTTCTGGAGAAAGCATCTGATTTACAGAATATTTCGAAGATCTACTAATGAGGGAACTTTTTGAATTGATTAATCTAGGTTATCAACCGTACTGATTCTGAATATAACCATGAAAACTCTTCGTATGTCTTTATATGCTGGTTTTTCAGAATTACAAATATTTTGGTAAAATCGTTTTTGACCTACACAGATTATAGAGGATGTCGAGTTATCTACAAGGCAATGATCTTTTCTATTGTCCAAAATAAGTTTCATATCATACAGATTTTCATATTGAAATATTTATATGTATGCAATGTTTGAGTTTAAATGATTCCATTTTCTACAAAAATAAAAAAATTGATTTGAAACAGAAAAAATTCCTGTGAAAATTTTATTCGTTTATAAAAATCAGCACATGAAAACATAAGATGATTTCCCTATAGTAATATTTAAAATTAGTATGATCGATAGAGTCCATCGAGTTGGTCTCGTACCCGGACCTAGTCACGGTCAGGTTTGTAAATTTTAGATCTGCTAGGGTCTAGTGGTTGGTAACCTCTCTAATCCATTAGCTTCCGTTAACAAAGAAACGATAGATCAATTGAAAACATATACTCGAAAGATATAATTTCTCTATTAACTTATTTTACATCAAACTAGAATCAAGTCTTCAAATACTTATCAATCATATATGATAAAAAACATATTGTGTCGTTATATGGATTTAAGATCTACCATGTTTTGATTTGATCAATTTTTTAAGTATCTACATAGGGGGATCAAAAAGTTCTGAGAATTTTAAAAAAGAGCGTGTTGGATTTGATGATCTATTCAGATTTAAAAAGAAACAGAACAAGCCATGTTATAGAGCAAGCCGAGGTGCGTCGAACGGCATATAAAAAAAATTGTTTTCATAAGATTTTGAGGGAATCAAAATGGTTTTACTGGTAGCCGACCATTGTGAGCCTTGGTATCAGTCGAAAGTGTTTGTAAAAATAATCTTCTTATATACAGTTTTGTAGCACTTTTCACGGGCTACAAGCTCATATACTCAGCATCTCCGCTCGTCCTATCTTTGATAGGAAAAAATGCAACTTTTCGATGATCCACCATCGTTTTCCACAGGTAATGGCTGTTGGTGAGTCTTTGAATCCATGAGCGTCTACCAGTAAATCCAGATTGGTTCTCTCAAAATCTTATGGAAACAAAATTTTTGATATACCATTCGACGCATCTCAGCTTGCTCTATAACATAGTATGTTTGGTTTTTTAATTCTGGATAGGTTACCAGACCCGGCATGATCCTGTTTAAAATTCTCAGAAGTCTTTGATAGGGTCCTGCGGGAACGACTTTTCCCCGTGTTTTCCCGTCCCGTTTCCCGCGGGAATCGGGAACGGGAATTCTGGTGGACACTCCGGGAACGGGAATTGTATTAAAAATTTCTGTTCCCGGCAAACCCTATGTCCGATTTCTGTTTGCATTAAAATCTGTTTATCTTACAGTATTCGATTTCCAATAACTATTTGAAATATAATTGAAAAGAGAACAAATATCAGTCAACAAAATCAGACAAGTTCATTCAAACATAGATTATGAGAATCACGATATTCTTTACCACCATCGTCGTCGTCGGCATCGAAGTTGGGATCATCAAGATTACATATATGTCAAACTTGAAACTTGAATTCAATTGAAATTTCAAGTTTCAACTGAAATTTCAAGTTTCAAGTTTCAACTGGAATTTCAAGTTTCAAGTTTCAACTGAAATTTCAAGTTTCAAGTTTCAATAGGTTTATGAGTCTTGAATCAGAAATTTACTTTTAATATACGGAATCTTGTATTGTGAGAAACATGATGTCGCTAAAAGCTAGTATCAGGTAGGAATAGTGTTGATGAATGTGAATAATGAAATCCTTGTAGCTATTCTCAAAGCATTACGGGAACGGGAATACGGAATGGGAACCAAAAAAAGTTGTTCCTGCAGGTCTCTAGTCTTTGATCTTCCTAGTAAAATAAATTTATTGATGAGATTTTTTTTTTCAATTATTCACAATGATGTTTCTCGATATTAATTATATGAAAATTTTCACTTATATTAAAAACAATTTTTATAACTATCTAATAGTATTTATTCAATGAGGTATGAATTAGATTTATAATTATACTTTCTTTCCGGTGTAAAGGATTTACCATAGTATTGAGAAAGTTAATTATTGAATTCCGTATATTCATCTTGATTAACTAATTATACATGCATATCTTAGTCATAAATCTATGAAACAATGGCATTACACTTTTTATTGATAGAATGTTCTTCAAAATCATACTGATTTATTTAGAATATGAATTTTGAACTTTTCATTAGCTTTGTTTGTTGTCTTTTTTCCCATTTTTTTCTCAAAAATTTGATAAAAGAAGAAAATATTCTTAGTACTAATGCTTGATGTATTAACATCGACTAAAGCTATATAATCGTATGATCACGTTTCTTCTCATTTCTAATTTTACTCAAAAAATATTCTTACGCAAACTTTTCATAATGAATAAAGTGTAAGAACAATCATACATTGAATGGTTGATCAATTGTACATATTTTATGCGAGATCGCGTAAATCTCACAGACAGTCTAAATAATACAGACATTGTAAATTATCATCGAAGTTATCTTGATCTTTATGTAAGTACATTACATATTTATGAATCTTCATTTTTATCCAAATACGATACTATTATAACTAGACGAAGAAATGTCAACATTGCACGAACTATGAAACTATCAGTCGAACTTAATATTGATCAATATATTTTTCCACTTTAGATAACGTCTTTTGACAGAATATAGCATTCGTTAGAACAAACATAAAAAATGTCTTTACTAAATTACTATTTTCTAATACACAAACGTAATTGTTCTACTGCATTAAAAAAAAATGTGCTACTTTATCAAAATATGAAAAAAGAATGATTGTTTTTGGATTTTAGAAGTAATACGTCATATCTGATACATTTTATTCATATTAGAAGAAAAAAGACCGCTGTCGACAAGTGTTCGCTAGATAACAATCTAACAAACAAGAAAAGTTTGCTTATACGTTGTAATTTTTGAATATCATTGACTCATAACTTACATGTAACTTATTTATTTGCAACGTGTCTCACCGCCAGAGGTACGTTTTCCACCTTTCTCTTTTCTTTACGTTCTTCATTATATTATGCTATTCAGAAGAAACAAATTAAGATTTGTTTTGACGGTCCGAATGCACAAATGGTATTAAATTGGTTGAAAAAAAAAATAGGCAACGAAAGAATCGTGAAAAAACTGGCGAAAAAAAGATCGAGAAAAAATGTCGAAGAAAAAACTAGTGAAATAGTTTATAGCAAAAAAAACTGGCACTCATATGAATTTGTCGAATAAATATATTTGAATATCCTCAATCAGCGAGATGAAGATATTTTATTGCGCATAAAAATATAGTCGACGCTTAAATAGACCAACCAAAATAATAGCGAACCAAAATACTCAGGTAAAAAATCAACGACAAAACTATATTGTTTTTTTTTACGCAGGTTGAGTGTGAGTGTTCCCATCGATCTTCGCTTTATCTCTGACCTCAAATTCTACATCTTACTGACCAATAGATTTCCTTAATGACATCTGGAACATTATCGACATTTTTAAGGAGAATATAGTTTTTTCTTACCATTTTTATACGACTGAAATTTTTTGTATTCGTCATAATTATTGTCGACATTTTTTTTTGTGTCTGCTTTGTTTCACTATTCTTTCGTTTGTTATTTTTTCTTTCGACCATTTTCATACGTACGATGCATACGTTGCATACTAGTCTTTACTACTAACAAAAATTTTTGTATATTTTTTTTTATTTCAGACGAAAATATTCTAACAAAACGCTTTGATGCCAACTAGCTTGATTTCATCACTAGAAACTTTACCCGTTGAAATTCTTTATCATATTCTCGATGATCTTGATGCACAAACAATACTATTTTCGTTTCGTCATATCTGTCGACGATTTCGAGCAATTGTTAACAATTATGATCGATATAGTCTCAATTTTGAATCAATTTCAAAATCCGATTTCGAACGTGTTTGTTACTTAATTAATCCTAGACAGGTTACATCACTGACACTTCGTGAAAATGAAGGAGCACCCGATCAAATTAAATTATTTCTTTCATATTTCAATCTTCAACAATTTAGTTATTTACGTTCATTGTCTCTTTTTATAATTGGAGAAGAAAAATTGCAATTGATTGCAAGACAATGGAATATTCGTTTACTTGAATCCCTCTCACTTAAAATTGAAAAATCTGATGATCGACGTAAAACAACAACAGCACGATTTCTATCATTAATTATTGCAAAATCAAATCTTTTAAAGCTCAAACTCGATATTCAAGCAGGTCGACTCGAAAAAATAATTTGGCCAGCTCAATACTCAATTCAATGTTTGAAAATTACTAGCGTAGTTGCTTTTGATCGACTTTGTACTATTCTCAGTTGTTCGCCCCATTTGAAAACACTAATGATAAATTCTTTTTTTTTTCAAAATTCTAACCAAATTGTCTTCACACCTTCACTCACGACACCTTTTCGACAATTAACTTCATTAACATTCGAGAAATTGGAAACAGGAATTGACAATCTCGAATTGTTTCTTTCATTGACATCTTCGTTGATTCATTTGACAGTGATTGGTGATGGAAATTATCATGATGGTAATCGATGGGAATATTTCATTCAATTACATTTACCTTTATTAAGTGAATTTAGATTTTTCTTTAATCAAATACAACATATTCAGCCTAATATCGAAGATATTAAATTAACTATAGCATCATTTCAAACACCATTTTGGTTAGAAAATAAAAAATGGTTTGTTACATGTGAATTTGATATCAATACACCAGAATGTGTTGCATTGTATTCAATACCAATTTGTGTACCTTTCTTTTCCTACCATACAAAGAAAGTTTCAATTTCTACATATCCAAAAATATATGATAAGGATATATCTATAATGGATAACGTGCGTACAGTTAGATTAGATTTCACAAAATTGCTGCCTTTGGATGCAGAAGAAAAGGTATATAAGATTTTGTCATGAGAGTTTTTATGTAGCATAAGTTATATTGAAGGAAAATTACAAATATACTTTAAATTGAACAATAATTCATTTGAAAAAGAGCTTTTACATTAAATCAACATTTTCGCCTAAATAAACATGAAGCACATATTCTCTGCATTCGCTTAAGATTAGTCAATGTCTTGAATTGAAGCATAAGACTTATTTCATGTTTTATATTTCTAGGAAAACAAAATAAATTATCCATTATTTCGCAAAGTAAAGACACTTGAACTTGAATTTGTCAAAACTCGACCTCATGATTGGATTAAATTTATTTCGAATCTTATCGATCTAACAACTGTTGTTGAAGTCAAAATTTCAAGTACATTAATTCAGAAATCTGATCCATATATGCTGAGTGATATGGCTAATCTTCTTAAGCAAACATATCGTATTGCTTCAGTCGATATTTGTTCCGGTTTCTTTAGTAGAAAATCAAGTTTAACTGCTACTGAAATTTGTTCAATTTTACCCATGCATATCAAACAATTGGCGGCATCAGTAAAAACTTTCAATGAGATTAAAAATATTATTGAACGATTTCAACACTTATCAAATGTTAAATTCTACTTCGACTACACTCCATATGCTAGTGAAATCTTCAAATGGTTAGATGACAAAAGAAAAGATTCATCTTATCAGGTAGATTCTTTTTCTGTATGCGTTTGGCTTGGAAAAAATACAACTCAAATGAAAGAAGTTAAAGTTGGTGATAAACGAATCAAAGTAAGCTAGCAAACATTATTACTAATTATTGCTTCGATGTGTGTCATCAATCAAAATGATAATCATACATCTATATGAAACTTTGGTTTTTGTTTAATGACAATTCCACAGGATTATGAAATATACGAGAAAAACAATTAATTTTTTGTTTATAAAATCTAGAACATTCTATTAAAACCAACTTTTTTTTTTGACTTTGAATTGTTATTATCATCATCATTAATATTGTTATAATAATGAATGACTGATTTTCTAATATTATACTTATTTTTTTCACTAATATAAAATGAAGTTGTTCCATTGATTGATTTACACTGAGAACTTATTATCAAAATAAAAGAATATTGAAGGACGATAAAATGATATACGTAAATATAGATAATGACATGCTCATTGAAGAAAAATTATTTTAATTATCAGCTTTATAATTTATTCTACAAGAAAAATGAGCAATTACCAATCATATTCAAACCAATGCCGAGATGGACTATTTTGAACTGACATTTCGATGTCGACTAGAAAATAATTGACTTGAACTTTTGAAATTGTCTTTATCGAACATTGAAATCATGAAAATCAACAAAAACAAACATAAATATACTCATTTTAGTACTCTAGAAAAGTAATAAACAACTGACTAGTCTGATATCAGCTTCATGTCTAGATCTAGAATAAATCAATCATTCTGATGTCACTCGTCATAAAATAACAACTATTTGATCTAGTCTGCTGCATGTTGATTACTGCAAAGCTTATATCGGTTCAATTGCCTTGTCTTTCTCCAATTTTAAGATTGCCTGAAGTTTAGTGTAGCGAAAAGCATCACCTGCGTCATGATTTATTTTTTCTCTATATTGATATTATGAACGGTCCATTTCCACACGGTCATTATGCTCTATTGCCGTCTTTTTCTCCGACAAATGCATGCACTTTATATATATGAATAACTTACATCATACTGTGTAGATGTCAAATAGACCAAAAGATGTAATACGAACAATTCTTTTACTAAGTTCATTACATATTGGATAATTTTACATCTTCGACTGAATTGCAGCAGTTATATATGATCTCGGAATATTGCTGTACAACATACGTAGATGAATTTCTCTTATTACATCGATCTGAAATATATTGTAAAAAGTTTAGCTCGAAAACATCGCCGTCATTGATATGATGACAAACGTCAAACAGCTTGCTGTTCAGTTAGAATACAGTAGGAAATGATCACGCATCATAAATAACACTAACGATACAATGGAATAAGCTAAACAAGAGATAATTGATTGGAAGCATGAAAAAAATTAAACCAATTGCCGTTGAATTAACATCCTTCTTATTTGACATCTTCTGTCAAAGAGCTATTTTATCGAAATCACCCTCATCAACAGTCAAAGTTAATTGATTTATGAATGTACGAGATCGTTTTCATCATTCCTAGATGATAGTATGTCCAGTTAAGATGAACCATAGTTGTTCAAAAACATTGATAAGAAGTCCATTCGCATTACTTTACTAATAACCCATGGCGTTGTCTCCGGAATTTAAATGTAAATATGGGTTAGTCATGCACTCATAAGAAAATGGATTCATATTACCTTTCTACACAATTCACTGACATTGTGTCAAAGTACGTGAATGGATGAGCACCAGAAACTGCAAGCACTCGTCAAAGCCGTGTAAAGTTCACAACTGCTCAACGATAACAAATAAACTATCGATAATACAAAAAGAAAAAATCTGTGGTGTCATTTTTATATTCTTGGATATTTGTAAATACAAAACAGAATAATAGTGTGTCATGAAAGAAAGCTTTTTAACATTCTCATGAATGAACAGAATATACCTGGATATAATAATGGCTACAAATAACAGTAATATACTTTTATTGCTTTACAATATAGTTACTTAACACTAGATTGAACTTATTTCTATGTATTCAAAGTCATTGAAGTGCAATGCATCAAACAGTAAAACAAAAGTAGATTTCCGCTAAATAGAAATAAATTAGAAATTAGCAGTGTGTGATGAACAAATCAGTGCATCATTTTTATTAAGGATAGCGCTTCTGAAAGTGATTGTTTCTAAACTACAGTCAAAATTGTTCAAAAAATATTCTTGTTTTGACTCATCATTTTTGGATTTACTAGTGGATCATATGCATTAAACAATAAAAATACTAAAATTGAAAGTTTAGACCTGTTTTATGAAAGACGATCTAAATAGGGTGTTGAATGATACGGATACAATTTTTCGTCCCCTTTCACCTATAGATATAACAGAGATCCTTAATAACGTCTCTTCTTGATCACAGACCATATATTAATAACGTATCATCATAATGTATCAACTATCTGCTTATTACATGTCTATAGGACTAAGTAAAAGGATAGTGAAGAAATATGTTACAAAATAGATAGAATAAAACAATCTTTCTGTAATTATCAAGACCAACTATATCGTGCTTCACATTTCAGTCCTGTAAGAAATGCTCTAAAAGCTTTTCTAGTTAGAGAAGCTACACAATGGCTGGTAAAGATATACAGGATGGACCATAAATAACACAGAGATAAGAAATTTTAATATCTCCGACAGATGTTGACCAAACGATCTAAAATTTTTACCAGTGTTAGAGATATATTCAAAGTTTATATGCATAAAGACATGCCTAGAGAGATCCTTTGTTAAGCATCACTATTGACCTCAACACAGGAGTTTTACTTTTTCACAGATAGGAAAAAACAATATACTTAACAAAGGGTTCCTCTAGACATGTCTTTATGAATATAAACTTTGAATATGCCTCTATCACTGGTAAAAACTTCAGATCGTTTGGTCATCATCTGATGGAGATATTAATATTTCTATTCGCTGTGTTATTTATGGACCACCCCCTGTATACTTATAGCTTCCAATGGATAATATAACATTATGTAAAATAATACTTTCCTTCTTTGTCTCGTAGTGGCCAATGATAATAGGAGATAATGAGAATTTGCAATATAATCTCTCATGGAGCTCGTCAAACATTGTCAACAATATTCACTGAAGCACATATTGAATTTAATACCATTGGATCTACTGAATGCACTTTGCAACTTCATGATATAATGAACTATGAACTGATGATCTTCAATTGATCAATTTTTGGTGATGTAAAGCTTTCGAAATAGTAACCACCAAGTAGAAAAGTTGTACATTGTAAAAACAAAGATCCTTTTTCTTATTGACATTATTCTGTTTATTAAGATACAATGGTTGCTGTATTTTGTTATTTACGAATGAGCGTATATTATTGGATTATTCAAGCCAATACTTAGTTATAATACGTGACCGACTATACAGTTATGTATTGTATAGGTTTTTTTAACTTCTTTTCATATATTACATACGGACTTCTCTCTTGAAAATAATGATTATTGGTTATGAAATATATTTATTCTAAATAATGTACTTAAATGCAAATAAGATTAGTCAGGAAGCTCCGAAATTAATCGTTTTATCTTGTACTAAAATAACACAAGAACGAAGTGATGCCAAGTCACTTTTTAGCAATACTTTATGGCCTGTAACCCGTCAGTATAAAAGCATACATATAACCACGCAATAAATCTGCGTGTACATACATAAATCGTTATATGATGACATACATGATAGTTGATCTGTATATACAGTTAATATTATTACATTGCGAGAACATACAAACATTCTTGTAGAAAACTCACATATTGATGATGAAAAGAATCCTTGTGTATGTTATGAGAGAAAATACTAAAATGGGTAAAAAGGAAAAAGTAATTCTGGTCAACAAGCTTGAACACACAAAAGTCTTCTTTCCAGGCATAAGATTCTATCATACATACTTTCGTTTAGGAAAATAAAGCTTCTTCACAATTAAACTATCACCATATATGAAAGTTACGTTCGAAACATATCAGGCATGATAGGTGTTCAATAACTTTCAGACACGTACGTACGTACATACGAACAATTCTTAAAAATTTGAAAAAATGTACCTGTTTTTTCTTGAGATAGTGCGATATACTTATAGAAGAGCAAGTCCAGTTTTAAAAGAAATAAACAAAGATATGACGCATTAGAAACTAAATTCTTTCATGAGATAACATTTACACTACAAAATAATAAAATTTTACATCTGAATGTAGAAATACTTCAGTATTAATTTACATGAACACGACATTCACTCGTTGACATGCAAGTTGTAACAAATTTCTCGTCATCTTGTAGATAAATGTGAGTAGCTTTCATATATTTCAACAAGAGTCCTATATTTTGTATAGAGACAGATGACTAATGCGTGTAATTAGCTGTAAAGACAAGAAACATGTATGACGTCTCATGTTATTCTGAAAAATTGTGTTTCCATACATTTCTTATAGACAAGCATCTCATTGTATGCATTGATGTGCAAAAAACTGCAACGAGTTCAAAAAAGCTACATAATCATGTATGACAAAAAAAACGATCTTCAAAATATTTTGCAAATAAACATAGACTTCTAAAATAATTTCTGAAAATAAACACATTTTATAAGATTTCATGCTTCAATGAACATCCAATGGTTCTATTTGTACCCGTACAATATAATTCCATATAAGACTATTTACGCTAAATGCTAACTCGTTTTGTTGAACAAGAAGAAAAGCACTATCAATCTTATCAAAAATGAGAAGTATTATTTAGTATGTCTGATAAGAAAAAAAAGAATAAAAATAATGTAAAAGAAATTTTAGTTGAGATTTATCTGTTCAACGGTAAAATCGTCATGCTATGCAAAGTGTTTTAAATGAGACTACCCAGTGAGTATAAAAAAAAGAACTCGTGAACTATCATCTATCAGAAAAAAGTCATATCAAAAGGGTGATATATGTAGTATGGAATTATAAGAAAAAAAGGACAATCAACCATTAGATTTTTTCTTCATATAGTTATCTTGTGCGCCGTTAGAGGCTTACTTTCCTTTTCTTGTCAACGTAGTGTCATTTTAATAACTGTCAAACGAGAAACTCCAAAATAAATAAAAAGAAGCAAAAAGAGATTAAAGAACGGATTGGATAGAAAAAAAAAACCTTTCCTTATTTTAAATGATAGTTGTTATTCATTTCTTTTCTTCATTCTTTACCGTTTTGTAATCAAATAGTGTTGTTTAAGAACATATCTAAAGCAAAGCTAGATCGAGAGAAGGTGTATTCCTAAGGTTTGTCACCTTTGACAACTCATAGATTTGTGCTAGTTTCTTTTTTCTTTATTACGTTATAATAGTTCGTAGGTATTAGTCTTGATTTAATGAATGACTTTGAATTCTTTTTTTTTTTCTAATTATTTGTTTACTCAAATAATAGACTAAATAAATTCTATTATTATAAATCGTTTATAGGAGTAATAGAATAACTGCTTAGATTATTTTAAAAAATACGTTTAATTCACATGTAAACAATAGTTTCATTCGCATAAAATATATTTTTAGTAATAAAAATGTATGAACATAATATGACCTACGTAATTTTTTACTTGAATTCTTATTATATCTGAATGAGAAGAAGAATTAGTAATTTTGACTCAACTTCGTAATATCTTTACTCTTTGCCTCTGAAATATTCACAAGACAAAAGAAAAACTCAGATTATTCTCGATTCAATTATCATACGATTTGAGAATTTTCAGGTCACTTTGTTCAGACAGTTAGTTCATGACGTATAGAACTATTTCAATAATTCACTATACCTATACATTATTTTAATAGAAATACTCTTACTCATGATAAACATTATTTATGCAAAATAATTTCAGTAGAACTGTTATAAACAGTAGATATAGCATAAATACTAAAAACGAACAAAATCAATTATTGCGACAACAGCATATTTTTTATTTTAAAATATAAGAGCTAAGTAGTTCTTGTCGAATCATGAAAATTATTAGTATCTCAGAAAAGTTACGTTACATTTCATATTTATTTTAGATTTAAATTTAGATATCTTTGTATTCGTTGACCTATCAAATATGGCTCAAAATTTGTCCTATCCAAAGTACAATGACGCAAACAAGTCTTCTAAGACGAAACAATCTTTTCAGAATACATACAAAAGTATTGATAATGAAAGCATCATCAATAGTATTACTGGTTATGAAAATGATCTTGGAGATAGATTAGAACGATTGGAACGTGAAGCTGGCATGCAAGCACAACAGATCGAATTGAATGAATGTCTTGAATGTATTGCTCAACTTCTTGATTTATTTAAACGTACTGTTATTACCTCCGAACTTCAAAATCAAAATGATTGGCATTATAACACACGACAACAGCTACAACAACATAATGGTGTTACTGGTAATAGACTTCTTGACGATAAAGTCGAGAAGATCGTTATTAACAAAGGTTTAACCAAAGAACAATGGAATTGTCTTCTCTATATGGCATTAAGTACTGGTGATAAAGTAGAATTAACCAAAGTTAGCAAGAAATATTTACAAAAAGTACGTGATAAAGCATCACGTCTTCTTGAAACTGGTGAACAGAATGCAGTATTTGCTTTGATTAATGCTACCGAAAAATTTATATCGAAAAATTATTCCACTGAAAAATGATAATTTTTTTTTACCATGGTATAAATTTCTATAAAACATTCTATGATATTGTCAATAATATTGTATATTTGTCTACATTTGTAATGTAATTCTATATCACGTTCATGTTTATTGAACGATTATCTTTGTTATATTCTTGAAAATTTTCATTAATTTAATAAAGACTATCTCTTATATGTCACTGAAATATAAATTCGATAATGTTTTTTAAAATGCTTCTAAGTTTGTGAATATATTTGAAAATTTTTGATGGCAAAATTAAATTATATCAGAAGTAGGAATAATTGTAATATATAATAGAAGAGTTTTGATTGATTGTTAATTAATTTTCATGGTTATCAAATATTTTATCGATGATTCTTTGTTTACATTTAAAATAAATCGAGAAAAATTTTTATGAGTAATGAGTTCTATTTGATATTATGTTCTGATATTCTCATCTTAATCTTTGATTCTATCTATAATTATCATTAAATGGAAGGAAGAAATCTATTGTAAGTCGTTTTAAGTTACAAACGCATCTTTATAAGATAATCATTTGCAAATTAAAATAATAGAATTATTACCGCGTATTTACCGATTACATAAGCAAATTTTGAAAAAAGTTTCTTCTTTCAACAGAAAGTGTATTAAATAACAACTGAAAGAAAATTTAATCTAAAAGAAGTGAAATATCTACACAATATTTGATGTTTTCCATCAAAAACAATTTGGTATAATCTTAATGTTTTGTTATAAGCCTTTTGTTTATCCTATAATTTTGCTAATTTTGTGATATTCATCTTATCAAATAATTTATTTTAGTCGACGAAACATCAATAGAAAAGCAGATTTTTTTTTTAATGCAACTTACCGTATATTAATTATCTACAGATTACATGAGATTTAAAGAATACAGTATTCAGTATTGAATAGCTAAAAAAGTTGTTTAAAGAACTCTGAATGACAATCATAACATGGATGAATAAAGAGTAGATGTTATAACTAATAATGCCTCATATGAACTAATATTTATATTTTACTAATAATCATGATTTTGTCTCAGATTCGAGATGAACTTCATATTTTTTTTTTCTATCATTTAGAGTTTATTGATCAGTCTCAAAATTTCTTTTCGATATTTTAACAATATGTAATACACTTTGTTATAAAACAATAATTCAATAACTTTGAATATATTTTTCATTTATGCATTCTGTACTGATCATTTATTACACAATAAAACTCTCTTTCAGGTTAATTAATTAAAGATTCGCTCATGCTTGAGTATCTCAATAGCATTCCATTTTCTTGTAAGAATATGTGCGTAAATAATTGCAAAGATGAATTTCGTACTTTTTTTTTTTTTAAAGAAAGAGAACTGTCATTTGATATAATGAATAAAAAAGTAACACTGTCTATAAATAGCTATCTGACAAAAAGCTTAGCTGAGATTTGTTTACGTTAGTCAAGCTATTCATTATTTTATCTAGTAAATCTATCATTGAGATTAGATACTAAGTGAAGAAAAAGAACTTTCAATTCTCGTAGTTCAATAGACTGTCACTTTACCAGATTGAACGAAGGTGTGTGTGAAAGAAATAAAACAAACGGAAGAAGTTCATACTTGAAAATTTTCTCACGCAATCATTCAACCTTCCGATGCATAAACTGTCCTTACTACTTTCATCCACATAACATTGATCTAATAGCTGTCAAGAGAATAACTTCAAAATAATAAGAAGAAATGAGATGTATAAACTGGTGGAATTAGATAAAAGATTGTTTTTTTTTTCAAAAAATAATTCTTCGAGAGACATTCTCTCTGTTCTTCGACTTACAGAAAACAAAAGTTTTTCTCAATGGAAAAGCATTCGACTTAAAGTGAGTTTGACATAAAACTCATATTTAGGTTTTTTTTTTGTTTACAGCTCACTTGTGATTTTTCTCTCATTTTTTCTAGTGTACTGTAATGATGAGACGAAAATCTTGTTTATTTGAATGGGTCTACGAATGATGCGCACGACGAAAGTTGCGCACAGAACGGAAAATGAGGGTTTCAAAGCAGAACGAACCGTTTCAAGTTCACTGCCTTCACCATCATCTTCGCCCTCACCCTCACTTACATCCGCACCATCATCCGCACTTCACAGCCTCAGCCAGAGCCCTCAGAGTCTCCGTGCGCAAGTTTCGCCGTGCGCATCTTTCGGGATCCCCAATACTTCACAAGTTTTCTATTTAGCTTTGAAAGTAATACTAGAGTTTTTAAAAATAAAACTATCAGAAAAAAATTAATTCAAGTAGTTGTCAAGATATCAAGAAACAAATTTCACACAGTAAACTTCGTGATAAAATTTTAACAACATGAATAGTTTTACAAAATTACAATGATAATTAGCAAATATGATGAATGCAACAACATTTAATTCTTATTCAAAAAAAAAATAAAACGAAAATATTCAATCAAGAGTAATATAATAACTATAACATTGTACTGTATTAGAGCATTTGGAAGTCTCTTTTTTTTTTTGAAATGATAGCTCTTATTTTTTTTTCTAGAATATTATATATTTCAATTAATTAAAGATTATTTAACTTTGTCATACATAAGATCAGTTTACTGAGATGAATTGAAAGTTTTTCATCATTGTTTTGTATTTATAATTGTGCTTGTGTTCTTATTATATCTCTTTCAGACAAAGAGAGACAGGAAGAATATTTTTGCCTTTCAGATACCTTGCGGTGTAGAGTGCTGCCTAACTACAAGTTCTGTAATTCAATATCTTTTCTACAACTCTGATGGCTTAAAGCACTCGATAGAAGATCGACTTACTACAGTGTTGCTGCGTTCAATTGTTTGAACTCATCATACACATTAGCATCATGTAGTCAGCATATTATTGAACAAGTGATCCGAGACAATCAATCATTAGTATCTTATGCAGAGTCATTCTACAGCTAGTGACACTGAGGTTTACACACAGTAGCTTGTGAATACGTGTCGAACAATGTAGTCATTCAGCCGTGGTGACAAGAGAGAAAGAATTACTATTATAAATCGTACGACAACAAGAAATCTTGCTTAATTTATTATCAATCATACTGACATCCTCAAATGATAGTCATAAAATAATTTTTTCATTACAATAGAACTGTACATGTATTATTTTTTAATATCAATCACTAATTTATGCATGCCAAATATTGATGTTGATAAAATATATTTTTTTTATCTATATACCTTCACAAACAAGATGTGACTGAAGCAATCGATACGATAGAATAAAATGTCTTGAAGACGGATTATTTCGTTTTACAACAGTGATAAAATACTCTATCAAATTGTACTGAGAAAGAATACTTCATAAGTTGATTTTGGTTATGTATCAAAACTGCTATTTTCTACATAGAGTGAAAATAATGTAGAGAACCTTCTATATTTTACAATTTTTCTTGACTCAGTTACAATGTATTAAAAATATTTTGTGTTCTGAACACTAATTTCAGATATAAAATTATACTCATTCTGATTCTCTGACATTTCAGAGGTAACAAACAATCCATCATATGCAATATATACTCGTGCAGACAAATCTGATATAATGAAACAATATCTTCAATCTCCTAGTGCTAATAATATCAATGAAGCAATTATAAATGTCACCAATGCTTATGAAAACAATCTTAGAGATCAATTAGAACAAATTAAGAACGAAGCAGACATACAAACTCAGCAGATGGAATCAAACAATACTGCACATCTGTTGCTTTACTTCCTGACTTGTTTAAGCATATCATTATTAGGCTTAAACTTTGACGTCAAAACTGGTAGCACAAGAACATTTGACATCAACTAAAGAATAATGAATAGCAATAGTTTAACCCAAGAATAGTAGATTTATCTATTCTATTAAACTTTCACCACGAATCATAGAATATACAATAACTAAAATCAGTAAGAAACTTCTCCAAAAAACTCATAATATGATCATTAACTCTACTCCAAAGTGATCAGCAATCTTTTAAATTTGTTTTTATCATTACGATTCAAAAACATATCACCAAAAAAAATAGAAACATTATCATTTTATAAGACCTACAAAAAGTCTTTTTTTTATGAACAATGGTATAAAAGAAATGTTGAAGAATATAGATAGAGATTTGGACTCCCTTCTCATAGATCATGATAAACATTTTCGTAACACATGTGTTCATCATAGACATATCAGTATAGTGAAAGTGTCAAGCTGAAGTATATGTTGCACAATCCATTAATTTACAATATATACAGGTCAATTATGTTTTACACATAAGTCCCACAGAGATTGAGTTAATATCTTTTTCTGAGTGATTATAAAAATATTTTTAAACTAAATGATTTTCATAAAGTCATGTCGAATCGAGTTCAATGTCTGACCTATATTCTGAAACAACTTATCGAGTTCCAGCTTGAAAACATCAATTTCATCTTGTTTCAAGAATACTATACAAGTTTATTTTTCTTGCGTTAACTCATGCTGTATACAACATCTTTCTAAAAATATCTGTAGCTTGACATTCGTTGTATTATATCTTTTTCAAATTTATATTTAGAGTATCCAGGTTTGATATACGTATGAAACTCTAGAAGAATCTATAAATATATTATGTTGATTCCAAATATAAATTCTTTCATATTCTCGTATTCCTCTTCAGGAGTTTGAACGCTAAAAAAATATTTTTTCGTCTATCAAGGAACTATTTATATTAGTGTATCAAAGATTCTACTGTGCTGATTACTCATACATAAAAATTTTCAATATAACTATTGAGTATTGTTAAAATATTGTCAATATATTGATTCTTCATATAAGAGAACTGATTATTCTAGAAGACAATCTTTCAATTTAACACTAAATTCGTATTGTTCCAAAAGATATTATCCATAAAACAAATAACTTGTAGCAAAGAAAAGAGGTCATTTTAAGTATGAAGAAAGTAAAGAGTTGAAAAATATTGATTAGATTAAATCGAAGAGTACC